TTCATATTTTAAATTAGTAAAATTCATTGATACTTTTTAAAAACAATTTTTTACAAAACTGATTTACAAAATTCTTCCTCTTATCGCAATGCCGTCGAATTTCGTTAAAGAATTGAAAGAAGGAATTTTTTAAGCTCCGTGAAAAGTATAAGTTTACATTCCCCGCCCAAAACACATGATACAGTTAATTTTTTAAATGCGTTTAAGTATTCTTTTTCGATCCTCTTTTGGATAATGGAAAGTATTTTTGGTCATACGATTTACAAAGAATTGTGATCTATTTATTTGATATCGTAGCTATCTCGATTAATGCGTTATTTCAAAACAATTTCTCTTTTTGTAACATACAAATTCATTGCAAAGATGATCATTTATATGCAATTATCGTATTGGTGTTTGTTTTTTTAGTGAACGCTTCTATGGCTAATTTAAAAATTTTTTCATTGGACCTTACATTATTAACGCATTAGGGCTATTACATCACCAACCACCTTTTTTTGTTGCACCAACCAAAAATTGAATAGGCCTATTTCAAGAGGTACGAATATTTAATATTATGCATGATCATTTTGAATATAAGGGCAGTTTATGAATGCCTGAACGAAATTTTCATAATAATCATGAATCAACTTAAAATAACACATCAAGTCAGCAAATACAAACCGAAACCTAACTATAAATTTGAGAAATGCATTGAATGTAAAAAAAGAAGAGAACCATCTGAAGAAAATCATAAGCTTTGCCGTACTTGTTATAAAGCAAATACAATAATCATTAATCCAAGTGGAAACAAAATTATTGACGATTTTATCAAATATACTCATATAACTTTTGATCGTAAAGATAGAGGTATAATGGAGTTTGTTCCATATGATCAATTCAAAAATATAGAAATTATTGGTGAGGGAGGATTTAGTAAAGTTTATAAAGCTACTTGGATTGATGGTCCAATAAATAATTGGAGTGACATAAAAAAAAAATATAATCGGAATTCTAATACAAAAGTTGCTCTCAAGAAACTTAACAATTCTAAAAACTTTACTTCTAAGGAGTTAAACGAGGTATATATAAATTTCTTTTTTTTATTTATTATAATATATACTAAATTAACAATCTTTTTTATAGCTTAAAATATTTTTTCGAGTAAAAACCAATTATCAAGTTATTCGGTATTATGGAATTACGCAAGATCCTAATACTAAAGAATTTGTGATAATTATGGATTATTGTAAGAAAGGAGATCTATCCCATTATATAGCTAATGATTTTTTTAATGTTAGTTGGTTAACAAAGTTAGGTCATTTATATAGGATTGCAGAAGGCCTATCAAATATTCATAATAATAGTATTATCCACCGTGATTTGCATAGTGGAAATATTTTGATACAATATAGTTATTTTATTTTCATTGGTGATTTAGGATTAAGTAAATCTGCTACAGAAGCTTACGTTAATGACACTTATGGAATTATTCCTTATATGGCACCAGAGGTTCTTCAAGGGCAAATGTATACTAAAGCTTCAGATATTTATAGTTTTGGTATGATTATGTGGGAATATATGACAGGAAGAAGACCTTTTTGGGATCGGGCTCATGATACTGAGCTGATTATTGATATTTGTGATGGCTTACGTCCTCCAACAGGTAACATTAACGCACCTAAAGGTTACATTGAGCTAATGAAAAAATGCTGGGGCCCTAACCCAAATAAAAGGCCAGCAGCTGAAAGAATTTGGAATAAATTGTATAGCATGAGATATCATCAACAAGATAATCTACCTGATATTGTAGAATCATCAGAAATTGGACCTATAACAATAAACAATAATCCAGGTGCTATTTATAAGAGTAGATCTTTAAGTAGCATGATAAACTCCGCAAGAAGTTTACGAGGTCTATCCATTTCTTCGGA